TTCACGGTCAAAACAACACCAAGATGGCGCGGGACGACCACATGGTCCCGGAATGGCGCGCGCGCGAAGTTTGGTTTGATTTCGGGATTTGCGTCTGTTTTGGACGCCGCGGCGGCCTCGAAAATAGTATTTTTTTTTGCACTTTGCAGTTGAATTAGGTGCTGATAATTACAGAATAGGTAGTTTATGAGACATACAACCCAAAAATGTAGTTTTTCAAAAACCGACTTTTTCGCGATTTTTCGGTTTTCAAGGGCCGCGTCCCCCCTTAAGTGTCTTGGTTGTTCGAAGCATGTGACTGCATTGTAGTGCGTATTGTTTGTATCCATTGTTTCGAGTGTGGCTGATTGTACTGTGTTGTACGTTGTTTGATTGGTGACATATTGTATTCAACTATTGTAGAGTGTGCATACTTCTGTATCGTTTTGATCTGCCATAATTGAGAATATAATTTTGTTTTGTTTATCATCTCTCGGCTCTGACTTGTTCTTTGGGCCACAGCCGGCGTCCGCTGTCGCGCCAAATAGGACCACTTCTAAATTGTCCACGCTTTCGTGGTGCGGTTCGGGGGGCCGATACTTCGGCTCTTGGAATTAGCGCGGCCATCACCTCCCTAATTAACGGGACCCGTGACATATGTACACAGTAGAAAAGTCCATAGTAAAGAAGACCTGACTGCCTTGTAGGCCTCACATTTTATAGTCAATTATACCCCAATGTCTGTTGAACCTAGATCCATAGTAAACAAAATTTAACCAATGAAACAAATAGGGAGGTAGATGTAATGCCACCAATCGGTATGTAGTGTCGGAATGTCTGTTGTAAGGAGATCTGTTGTATCAAGGTCATACTGTAGCCAAAATGTGATCGCTTTGTTACTCTCCTTACCCTCCCGCTTATCTCACTTATCTAGCTGCATGCGTCTAGACCTTCTAGTCCTCTCTTTTCCTTGGTGCATACCGAAACAAGCATAGTAGGACATGTGCACGATGCACGTGACTGACTAGTCATTGCATGACGTGGCTGTTGCATACGTCCCCAAGCCTGTTTCTGCAGATTCAATGCAGCGCGACAATCAACTTCGTGCGAGGTTGTCAACAAGGAATCTAGACAAGGACGACCCACATCAAAAGACATTGCACATAGCGGACAAAAAAAAATGCAGAATAGGGCAGCACTATGTTGACTGCTTCGCACAGAATTGATTGTCAGAATGCGTGTGATCACAGAGAAGCGTTCTACATAGTCAACAACAACAACAGTAGTTCGGACACATGTTGAGCCCACATAATCTTGTGAATACCAGCTTTTACGACTTTTCATGCCTAGATTGTTGCTAGCAGCAGCCACATCCCAGTAGACATGTTTGTTCAGCTTCCTTCCTATAGTGGCAGCCGTGACTCCAACTGGAGGAATGATACAAATGCACAGCAAAATTTGTAGAATGGTACGCTGCAAGGAACAACCTTCCGACAAGGCTCTCGAAAGACGGTCAGTGAGAATTGGGTTCACGATAGCAGGACGCCTTACCCTAGTTCAATAGCAAAACTGGCATAATATTAGCACAGTCTGACGCAATTCACACAGATTATGAGGTCATCACCTTCAATAACCCTCAGCTCTTGATATAAGGCACCTGCTTAACCTTTAGGAACGGCAAAAGCGCACCAGAAAGAGGGACAAAAAAGACATACATGCAGTGCTACTTCCCACAGTTTTTGTCATTGTATACACAATAAAACACCAAATCTGATAGGTAGGAATAACAAAACGGTACAAGGCAACAAATTATTTTTTGTTTTGGCTGTAAGTGCCGCAAACTACATACATGTACATGCTGATGCACTTATGGCCCACCTTTTTCAATCTGCCTTGCTTCTCAACCTATTTCTATTTAGAAACACGATTCTGTATGTGTTGCACAAAGAACAACAGCCACACTTTCTAAAATGCATTTTTTCCTGTGTTAAGTGCGATTTTACCATTCTTTAAAATGGACTACAGATGTACCTAGATTTTCATCTTAGTGAACAGTATGCCTTCCTTAAGGGGATACACGGGTCTTGAACGCAGAAAGATTTTGGAAAAACCGATTTTCTGAAGTATTTTTTAAAAATAATATATGGGGTTTGACGAAAGCGTTCCTATAATGCTATTGCCATGTAATGCATATTTGTCAAGTAATTCAGTCTCAAATTCAGCTTCGTGACCATTTCCCCTGGCGAAACCACCTCAGAAATGGTCATATTTGACGCCGCGGCACCTGAGAACCACGCCAAGTAGCGCAGCCGTTTTGGTATCATTAGAAATATGTACTCTTTTTTTTGTCTGTTTCTAGCGAAAGAACGCTTTTCGTCTAGCAACAGCGCAGCTCTCGCAAATAAAGAAAAACCAAATACTCGCACATCATTGGTGCGTTTCTATCACATGGGGCAGTTCCCGGTTCCCTACTGGATGTGCAGGGATTTGTCTGATAGACAGCAGTGCGCATGCCGCCATTATGTGACATGGCCTTAGTGACGGCTGTGCGATCGGTGCAATGGCAGGCGGTCATCGAAAGTTCCATACTGCTCATGTGTTCGGAAGGAAGCGCAAACGGCGTCTGAGGGCATGCAGCGTCTTATCAGCGAAACCCTCTGCCACCGCGAACACGGAAAAAGCTGGCTGTGCTAACGCTATCACGAACGCGGCTCCCGAAAACACGGACGCGATAGCCGGGGCCAACGATCCCACCCAAGATCTGCGCGTCGGCACTCCCCTGGTTTCCGACGCTGAAAAAGTGGCCCTAGAGTGTCGTGCAAGTGTGTTTTTCGAGACTCGGAAGAGACTGCAACTACTGGAACGCCGTTCATGGTCGTAAGCTTAGCGACAATGAATGAACTGCTTCAGTGCATGAAGTGCGGTGAAAGCGGCAGGCCTGGCAGGATTTCGAAGAAAGATCGGAAATACCGTATTTACTAGCATAATCCTCGCACTTTTTTGGCAGAAAACCGATGCAAAGTGGTGGTGGTGGTGGTGGGGGGGGGTGTGTGTGTGTGTGCAAGAATTACGCTGGAAAAACTTTCCACGAAAACGTATAGAGCGAAAAAGAAAATGAAGTGGCTGCAAATCGGGATTCTCACACCAGCAACTAACAACAAGCTTTGAGAAGTACTAATTAAAACTTACCCCAACAATGAAAGCATGGGATCAACACAAGGCAAGATTTGAGACACAAAAAGTGCAAGCAAATAATCGAGAATTAGAATACCACACGCAAAGTTTGTGGGCATTTCGGGCGTAGTAGTAGAATTCGTCGCTCAACAGGAGCCTTCAAAAGGTAAGCGTAGGACACAAGTATAAGGCTGATGGCTATTTAACAGAATCGTCCGTAGTTTTCTTCTTAAGAAATAAAGTTTACCATCAATCCCAGTTTTAGGCACACGGCAGGCCCAACGCGTCTTGGTGGCTTTCAGCTGCCGTCACCAGTAGCGAACACAAAACTCGTAGACTCCGAAAGGCTTACCGGCGGCTCTGTTGCCGCTGTTTAGTGCATGATCTGTCACTTTCAACTTGAAAGCAGCCGTGCAGCTTCAGTATCGCCCCATAACGTGACAAGATTACCGACACAACATACAAAACAAGCTGCAATGTGCACTTGCCACTTTGGCTTGGCTTGGATTGAATCTCCGTGCAATAATAGTAGACCTGATGCTTAAGAAATGGCACCAGAAGGCGCACGCTATCATCATCAGTGGCTGGAATGAGCAGACGACAATGTTGCGGCAGTTTTCGGGGGTGCGATAATTACTTGAGAAAAAAAAAAAAAAAATCGTATTTTTTGTTGGAACTATGCGGGAACTATGCGAGTGCAAGGATTACGCGAGTAAATACGGTATGGCATCGCCACAAAACCTGCGCTGTGTGATAAGTGCAAGGAACTGACACGGAGCTCATTGAGAGCGGGGGGGGGGGGGGGGGGGGTATGCGGCACGCAGCCCATTCAAGATCGACGTGCTCGCAGTTCGCGCAGAACAGCAAACAGACAAACTGCGTTAACTTGCGTTTTTTTTTTTTCACCCTGAATGCTTCATGGAGATGCATGTACACAAAGACATATAAGGATTATGTGAAAGTGGAAATTAATCCTGCCTTACAGAAAGCCAGCGCACGTTACTGACTCTGCGAGCACAGTGAAAACGCTGTACGCCGATCTGAACTATGGAAACCCAGCAAACATCTGGCGCAGAATGAAAAGAAAGCGTATGAGAAATCATGACGACTACACTCCTGGTGGCTTCTAGCATCATTACTGCACTGATTAACACCTTTACCTGTTGAATATAGTACAAGCTGACCGTGTCCCTAAACTTCCTTTCTCGTTTTCACAAAACAACATTTTTCATTACGTCCAAGGCCGTTGCCCTTAGTATCTTTTGATCTAGTGGTAGGATTTTGATAATTTTTGCAGTGTTTGAAAGCTTATACACTGATGAGTAAAACAAGAACAAATAATTGTGATAACTTTATTAAAAACAGTGCTTTATTAGTACTATAACTAAGCAGCAGTTTCAAATTTCTGATTATTTGTTAAGGTCATAACTATTAAACCAATGAAGCTAAAAATAAAATTATGGTTCTCTTGCACTCCCTTTTTTTTTTTACAGAGTGGTGTGATATCTAATTTGCAGCCATCTTTTATGAGAAAGCTGTCTAAACATTGGGCAACAGTGTGCAGAATGTAAGTTTGTGAAACAGTCAATATTTTAAAATACGGAAGTGACAGCTAAAAACTAATTGCATATTTCTTGTCAGCTGTGAAAAATGCATATCATATAAAAATTTCACCACTAATTACTCAGAATTATAAAAAATTTTAAGACCAGTGTATCCCCTTAAGCTGTGGTGCAAATTATTTGCTCCAGCTGTGGCTGGACTGCAAATGTAACAATAATACATGAATTTAAAAAAAATGCGCTTCATCGAAACACTGGAGACTTGATCAAAGACGACGATCCCACCTTTCCCTTCAGCGGCAGATTTCGCCCATTCTTCCAGTGAGACGAGCTTCTCATTGGGCTCCAGCTCCGCACTACGCAGCAGGTCGGCCAGACCCGGGGCGTGCCGACCCTGCACGTTGGTCAGGTAGGCGTACACCTTGGCCACCTTCAGCGTGGGCACCGTCTGGCGCAGCAGGTGGCCAAACTCCCTTGGCGATGCCGGGAAGTCGAACATCACCAGGTTTTTCACCTCTTCCTTGCCTGCATCATGCATTGGCAGGGAAGACGCATGCGTCAAGAGGCTCTACCGTGTACTTATAAAGATAACATGGAAGGTTTGGTCAGTTAAATAAAAACCTTAAAGGGACGCTAAAGTCAAATAACAATTTACGTCAGAGTGAAAGCTCAATGCATGACAGCATCTAAAACGACAACATTATCATCAACAGTGCCCTACTAGCCGAGAAAGTAAATGCGCAAGAACACATACGCCACAGTAAAACATTCTCACAATGATCCCAATGACATCAGACGAACCGCTTACAATTACAGTCGAAACCCGCGATAACAAAATTCGAGAGAACGAAATTCTCCCCGCAACGAAATATTTTCAGAGCACCGGCGAACGTCCATAAGAGTCAATCCATTTAAAACTCGCGACTAAGAAAGATATTCATACCGCTGTCCCACATTAACGAAATTTTTGAAACACGAGTGCACAAATATTCTACTCTCGCAACATTTACATTCGAAAACTGATGAAATGCATTCATGCTACACTTAAATTGTGCAAAACTATCGCTAAGTGCACTTGAGAATCAGCTGCCATCATTGTTTACTAAAGAAACTTAAAAGCTGGCGACAATGATGATGATGACGGCTTGCCAAAACACCTGCTCGTTATTGCAGACTACGTATGTAGCCAAGTCCACATTCCTCATGGAGTTTCATTCGTTGGCTTGGCTCTGTGCTTGGCTTTGTCGGCATTGGGCACACATGATCGCGTGTGTGGAGCCATTTGTGGAGAGTTTGCTTGGTCACTGGGTGCAACGTGAACCTTGTGTTGCGATTGCTTCATTCGATTTCTCTGCCTGTGAAGATGCCGCTCCCAACGAAAAAACGGAAGTTCATCACGCTGGAAGATAAGGCTGCAATCATCGGCGAGGTGGAAAAGGGCAGGAAAAAAAAAAATGGACACCGCCGAAGAATTCGGCGTACCTTGCAGCTCGTTGTACACGATTCTCAAGAACAAGGCCTCCATTCTTGGTGCACTTGAAAACGGCACAAGTGCAAGAAACAAAACCGTGACAGCTGCAGCGTTCCCGGACGTAGACAAGGCGGTGCTCACGTGGTTTTGTGAACAGCGTGCCGACAAGGTGCCTTTATCTGGCCAGATCCTGCAACACAAGGCGCTGGACTTCGCTTGTATGCTCGGCCAAGACAACTTTAAGGCGAGTCCCGGCTGGCTGAGCCGTTTCAAAGCTCACCACGACATCGTGGCGGAAGTCATTTCCCGGGAGGAGAGGACCGAAGTGCCACAGTGGCAAGCACAGCAAGCGGCACGTGACGATTTTATTGTGCGCCAACATGTTTGACACAGATGAACGGCCAATGCTCGTTATTGGCAGGAGCAAGAAGCCCCGCTGTTTCGAGGGGAATTGCAGGCTGCCAGTAAGCTACACCGCGAACTTGAAGTCGTGGATGCCGCCGGCTATTTTTAGCAGCTGGCTCCAGTCCTTCGATGCCGACATGCGGAAAGCAAACAGGTCGGTTCGCCTTCTTCTCGACAACTGTAGCGCCCATCACGTTGACGCGCAACTCAAAAACGTGCACCTCGTATTCTTTCCACCAAACTGCCTTTCGATCAGGGAGTTACTCGCAGCGTGAAGTGCGCTTAGAGAGAAAGGGTGATTCAGCGTTTGCTGCTAAATATACATATGTAGCACCCCACTGACCTGGACCTGTTCATGGCACTAGAGATGATCGTCGCCGCATGGATTGTGATGAGTCCAGCCATGATAACGAATTGCTTCACAATTCGTTATCACTCCGGCCTTGTCACTCTGCAGGCATCATGCACTGATCCAGTGGAGCCGGAAGAAGGTACGCCTGTAGGCGCACTTGGTGACGGTACTGGTAACAACGCAGTGCTGCCGTCACTGACCAGTGAATGGGCGAACTTTGTGCCATGGCAAACAAGATTAACGATGGCCTCAGCATCTATGAGTTCGTCTGCACGGACGAAGGCGCTGTCGTACATGAGGAAGTGACTGATGAAGCTATCGTCAGTAGCATGTGCCAGGCGGCCGATCCCGATGAGCAACGAATGGAGCAGCCAGAGAAAACAACAAGCCCGCAGGATGTGCTGAATGCCTTAGACACAATTCGCTCATTTTTCGGCGAGCAAGATGACGACGTGGTGATGGACCATTTCTTACAGTACGAGTCGAGAGGCATGAAATTGCAGCATGGTAAGGCCCGCCAAAGTAAACTTACTGGCTTTTGGAAATAAAATGTGTTTTTTCTAAATTCCATGTCTTTTCTGCTGCATTCTCGTGCCAACCGAATTCCCGCAAAAGCGAAATTTTGTACTTTCCCCGTTATTGCGGGTTTCAACTTTAATCACTAGTAATCGATCTGGCTGCACCAAATAAACAACCTTCCGGGCATCAAGAGACGCAATAAAATGCTGCCTGTTCCTTTCTGTTTGATGCATGGAAAAAAGAACTGCCGGGCATTACTATGGGGAATGGCACGAGTGATTCAAAATTTCAGCTTTTGTGTAGTTACACTCAACAGGTGGTGCCAACAAGCGGGGCGCACTTGAATAAAAAAAACGTCTGCAATCTCGAAGCCAATGATGGGAAATTGATCAATGGCCGTTGTTGCTGCTGTGGCTCCCGCTGCTTTCGGTGTGCTGCTACTAGCGCAGTAAAGTCGGGCAACGTTGGGCACTGCAACAGTGACGCGAGTCCGTCTGGTCGGTCCGCTTTTTGAGGCGGGTAATTTGAAGTGCGCTAACTTGATGCGGACCACTAAGACATGATTTTATTTCAAAATAGGCCCTTCCTTGGCACAAAAGTAGCACTACGAGGTTTCCGGACTGCTATTTCAACAATAAACATCGACTTAATAGTTGCCTTTAGTGTCCCTTTAATTGAAAAGTATTATTAAACTCCGCTGCGTTTCTCTGCCCTCTTTTTTCAAACACTTGCTTTTTTATTGCATTTATTGCCCCCTCAGATCAAATGCCACATGAGCTTCTTGAATTTGACAAGCAGAAGAGGACTAACAGAAGCTGCGGGGCACTGCAAACACCTTCTCTTTTCCTTCTTCACGGTAGCTGTGCTTGAAACTATGCAGGGAGAGACCGCAGGGAGGAAATAAGCTGCGGCAGCTTTTGTCATGACCTTGGGCGCACATCATGCAATGCACTCGGCGCCCTTCAGTGCATGACAGCGCCATTACGCTGGCACACCGCAGCTAACCCAAGTGCCACCCCCGGTTTATGCGACCTATTGGCCAATAGCAGTAAGCTGGTGTGGAATGGCGTACAGCTACACTGAAACCTCGTTATAAAGAAGTTGCATCTTACACAAAGATAACTTCGTTATAAAGGTGTATACATCTATTGCAAAACCGTTCTTCATTTACTTCGTTACAAGCAATATTTTCGTCATATGCGGGTTTGTTATACTGTATCAAGGTTTGAGTGGAGCACACAGCTCATTGAAGTGAGGGACAACGGTGCTTTTGTAAAGAGAGGGTACCTGAGGAAGTGGCAACTATGTGCTCTTCTTGTAAATTTTACGTGCCGCACGCAACTACACCTAAAACTCGATATGAAGAACCTGGATGTAATGAATTGTTGGATATAAGGAATTAAGTAAAGAATAACTTGATCGTGAATAGGGAGTCAAGAATACACAGTTTTAACGAATTTTCTGATATAACGATGTAGTACACTCAAACCTCATTATAACAAAGTTGTACCTTACACAAAAATAAGTTGGTTGTATACGAAAACTCGTTATAAAGGTATATATTTAACGGTATAATTATGGCGACTGTTTTTCATTTGCACAGTCATAACCAATATTTTGTTACATCAGGGTTTGTCACCGAGGTCAGAGTACATTTCCCTTGTAGATGCGGTGTTAAGGCGAGATTTGAGTGCATAAAATTGGGCTGAAATATTCACCGCAGCGTCTCCTGCTCATGAAATGCACTTTTTTTTTCACCAAGGCTGAGTGGTGGTTCACAACCTCTTGAGCTATGCTTTCATTTGATCAAGAGCACACTCGTTTGGCTCATATCTGTGCTTTAGACACTCGCAGTGGGTGGCATTGGAGTAGTTCCAATCACCGATTTGCAGTCCACAAGTTTCTTGCACTTGAGCCCCTGAAAAGTGTTCTTTTGAAACCGGGACATAAAATTGAAATTCTACAGTTCTGAAAGTCAAAACCGCCATGTGAATAGGAGGCATGGCTCACTGGTGCCAGGTGCCGAACTCTCATCCTCAAGCACAGCAGCGAAACTACCAAGGTCAGCGAGACAGGAACTCTCGAAAACCCACATGGCATAAACGCAAGCTGCTTCAATGGGCAGAGATAATGACATGACTTTTGCTACACGTAGAGGGAGAATGAATGTGCCAGTCAACAACCCTGCGGAGCTAATTTTGTGATGAAACGATAACTGCGAACTTGTATCATGGGAACATGCTGCCGCAGGAATTTTGCGAATAAGGACTGTAAGAAAGAAGTTGTAGGATGTGGAAGAACCCGCCCCAACCCCTTCACCGCTAAGGTCACCCTGACACGAGCACCATTAGTGTCGGGGTGTCGCAGTGCTAGGGTGACCTAGCACCGTTAGTGTCACCCCAGCGGTGCGGTGAAGAAGTGTGGCAGTGCCGAGGCGCTGCTTCGTAGCGCTGAGGACCAAACAATAAAACCGGGACAACTGCAATGCTGCCCAACCTCCTCGTACGCTTCGTGTATGAGGCGGATCGGACTGGCACTGCAGAAAGACGCAGGAATTGTTTTTCAAAAGGGAGTATCTAAATAGCACTGTGCTATTCATACGAAGTGATCGTCGCAGTTGTCTGCAAGAACTGGAAAGCTGGTCACAGTCACGAGACGAACAATTAACACAGCTATGAAGTATGCCATATGTAGATTCAGATGTACCATCGGGAGCAATATCCTAAAGATCACGGGCCAAACTAACTGCACAGCTGTGCTTTCTGTCGATTTCACGGCTAATTTTGAAAGCGTGTGCTGCGCACAAGCCCCCTTACTCGTCTGCTGGCTTCAAATACCTGGTTTGTTCAAATGAGGTCTTTACTGTCATAATATCGCATGGTGCTTCCCCGTCGGCTACACTAAAACCTCGTTATAACAAAGTACTGACAAAGTAGTTGAACAAACCCTTTATAAGAGACACCAGTTATAAGAGGCAAATGGGTATAAGACACCAGTGTGCCGACAGTAAAATACGGGTTCATAGGAAAATGCATACGTGGTACCCTGCTTATAGGAGACACCTCATATAAAAGACAAGAATCGCTCCCCACAGCATGCCTCTTATAAAGGTGTTCAACTGGAAATTAAAAATAGTCTTGCAATACAGTGTAAGGAATATAAGTCTGTAACGAATTTCGGATATAACAGACTTGTTTTCGTGTAACATACAACTTTCTTACAATGAGATGATATGATGATATGTGGGGTTTAATGTCCCAAAACCGCCATACGATTATGAGAGACGCTGTAGTGGAGGGCTTCGGAAATTTTGACCACCTGGGTTTCTTTAACGTGCACCCCAATCTGAGCACATTGGCCTACAGCATTTACACCTTGATCGAGCCACAGCAGCCAAGATTCTTTGTTGCAATGAGGCCTGAGTGTACAGGAATTGGCACATGGCACACTCCCCCACATTTACATAGGAGTGTAGTTGAAGTAAGCAAAGAAACAGGCTGGAAGGTAGGAAAGAATCGGCATGGTTCGCACATGCTCTCATAGTTGACCGCGAAACATTCAGAAGGCGCAGAAACTCAGTCTGGCAACTGTACTCTGGGCTAGTCCCACAGAAGCGAAGCTGTCTCTGAAAGGCGTAGCCAGAGTTTTCAAGTATGCCACTTCCACGGCATTCTTACCACAAGACCTATCGAACTGTAAATAGTTCATTCTAATGCATGTGCAGCAACAGTGAAGCGGTCTAAAAAGGCATCCCCGTGCATGCAGTGGTCAGGTAACGCGAGAAGAAATGTAGACAATAAACCCAGCAGAAGGAAGGAAGCAAGAGACAAATTTCTCTAACAGTCCTAACAAGTGCACCTATTTGAGCAGTCCACCAGTATCGTGAAAAGCATAACGAAGGTTGTTGCACGAGCAAAGCGTGTAACCAAGCCCCATGCCGATTGATAAACCTCGGTGTGTTCACGCTCTTTGCGAGGATGAACACACTGCCCATTTTTATTGCGATCAGCCCCTGTATTTCTCCGGCTGATTAAACTGCCCCTATGAGCTCTGCGTATGCCCATGGCCGCCCCGAGTAATCTTAACGCTTTAAAAATGAGCACTGATGTTGTGTCAATGACGTTACACTTGAAATAAGACTTATACAAGGACAGTGTACATGAATTAGCAGTGCATGGTGATTACTCACGAATTCGTCTGAGGTAATGAGTATGCTTTTGAAGGTATGCTGCTAAAAAATAAATGAAAAGAGTGGATGAAAACGACACACAACTTATTCATTTTCTTTTTAAAAGTTAAAGGTACCGCTTAATTTATAAATAAAAATGACAAAATAGAATTAACAGTTTCAAGAAAGACTGACAAAGGCTAACGGTTGCAAATGAACACAGTTCTTGACATCACTTTCTTAAAGCTACACTACGATACCCGCTACGAACAATTTGGCTACGAATTATTACGAGCATTGTAGTATCAAACATGAAGCTTTGAAAACGTTGGAAACTTTCACAGAGTTCAGGAGAAACTGTAGATTCTCGGCGGCTCCTGAATATTGTCTTCAGAGCTCCACAAAATCCTGGCCACTGTATTAGCAAGCAAAATGTTTTTTGTTTCAACAGTTTTGAAGGAATCATCTTCATTACAAGCATCGGGACAGTGCCTAAACTCGATCATCTAGCACCAAATACCAACTAGATCTGAAATCTGAATGCCGACTTTTCAGTGCTGACAGCAGCTGCTCACGAACCTGACGCTTACAGCTTCATTAGAAATTTAGTCCTTTTTTTCCCCGCAAAGGTAAGTAAATACGTGGTTGCATAACTTAAAGGGTGTGGTCAGAAGCACAGCACGGCAGGTGCTGCACTGGGCGCAGACCATTGCACTAAAATTCCTAGGCAGAAAAACTGACACATAGCAACATGCACACGCCCAGTACGTACTTAAATCAAGGGAAAAGTGGCTGCTGAACAACACGCACATTATAGAGTTTTAGTTGGTCAGCAAACTTGGGATTTGTAGATTAAATGTATGAACAGCCCCGGCGCAAACATGAGAAACGGAAGGGTGGCAGTAACATCTGGTGGCACTGCCATTCCTCATGTTCCTCATTCCTCACAAAACACAGAGCTACCGTAGTTTCCTTGCGAATCTCAAGCACCTGTAGCTTTTTTTTTTTCTTTCCGCGAGCATGGCTTAGTCACAGACGCCAAGTGCACCCTCTCATCGCCGACAGTAAGGTTGCTGAAAGTGTACTCCCCCCCCCCCCCCCCATCTACTGTGGCAACATGGATACCGAAGTCATACAAAAGGTGTTGTATAACAAACAACTTGGGCAGCGCTGTAGAAGTTCTGCTACTGGGCACCGAAAGCGACGGCTCAAATGGTTGCGACGAACTCGAGCGGCAGTGATAGTGACTTATAGCCAAATGGTGGGTTTTTCTTTTCTTTTTTTTTTCTACCCCATTTTTCTTATCGGTGTAGAAACACCGAAAAAGAAAAGTCGGTGTAGAAACACCGACTTTTCTTTTTATTGTTTTCTAATTAAAATGTGAATTCTTGGGTCGGCTTTGTTGATATTTTGCCGCGAAAAGGGTGGGCTGTGCGGTCATTTTTCGATTTTTCTAATCTAAGCACTTCCCCCCCACCCAACCTTTAATACTGCGATGCTGAAAAAAGAGGGGTGCTTAGAATAGAGTAAATACCGCATCACTGCAGAAACCTGGCTGCCATGCTACTCTGTTTCTAATGTGATTTTTCGACAAAGGCACAGTACTTGACACGCTACTTTGAAAACTTATACTTTTTTTTCCCACAACACTCACACACACTGGCATACAGCCGAATACAAGTCAGGCCAAAATCTCGTGCCTAAACCGCTGCACGGAATTAATCTGAATTCTGCGATGTCCTGTTAAACCACGCTGCTACTTGTCGCACACTTTTAAACAAGGCTTGGTAATAGAGAGGTCTACAAAACATGGCAGAGTGATAAATTAACAGGCAATGCTCACCGATATCCTTCAGCGTCGCCTGCTGTCGCCACAAGCAGCTTGACCTTGCCAGACCTGAAATCTGTCAACAAAACGAAAAAGAAGAAACTGGTTAATACTTGCATTGAAACTCTAGCAAGGCCATTTGATTATGAGAAAAACAGAATAAATAATAAATTTACATATGCAAGCTTTAGCAATTCTGCACATCTGCTTTCAAGCCTACATGTTCTCGAAGGGAACAATATGTGCACAGCTCACACTGTCAACTTCACTAAAGCCCCTTGAAATAAAAGAAAAAAACTAAAATAGCCCCAACCACACCCCTTCCGCCCTCTCCCTTCTCTCCCAGCAACCACCACAGCAGCTGCCTCTGAGTGTCCACCAGGAAACTACAAATGCGAAAGCCCGCGCGCACCTAGGTGTTCTGTGGGCGCACTGGATGTGCCAGACGCTTGGGCAGCTCGGGCACTGCTGCGCCGTGTGTTGATTGAGCGGCTGTGCCTCGGGCATGCTGAAACGGTACTGCCAGTGGCGTCTGTTCGTGGAGCGCGTGCTCGCGAAAGAGGACAAACAATACGGCGTTTGCGATACCTTCGCAAAAGCTATGCACGAGAGGGGAGAGGAGCATGCACACCGACACGAATGGCGTTATCTTAGTTCTTTTTTAGGTACTTTGAACTTTACCCGCTTTCAGTGCCCCCTGGTGTCACCAGACGACATTTCCCCTGTTGTGGGCAAACAGGGTCCGCTTCCAACTCTTTGATGAACACGCTCCATTCGTGCTTTCAGAGGTCCAGGGGACACACATGCAACTTCTGGGGTGAGCAGGGCACTTTTCGAAAGATGTAAGTTGAAAAACACAAGTTCTTCTTCCAAAATTACGCATTTTTGTTATATGTTTCCACAAGTTCTCAACTTTCTCTACAAAAAAACAGAAAATTTTAACTAAACTAAAAAAAAAGCCCTTTCTCTAGAGTTTCCAGGAAATCGCCACCCGATATCTTGTCATTGCATTTGATAGGAGTTCACTGAAGCCACGTGCTCAAAATAACAATGATTGCCAAGCTTTCATGATATAAGAAATCATAAAAATATATTTTCAGTGTAAATAAACTTTCACTTACACCTTTCAAATGCATTGTTCTTAACATCCATTTTCGTGCGACTTCTTGATTTTGGAAATCATGTTTTTGGTACTTCTGATAGCCCGACCAGGATAAAATTTTGCCCACATATCCCTTAAAAGAGTACAGACCACAACTTCGCAGCCGATTCCTGTGAACATGCGTATACCATCTGTAAAATATCAAAAGCATATATAGCTTGGAAGGTATTTTAAAATTAATCTTGAAGTCTGCATGCACGATCAACTCCACCACGCTATTGACAACCTCAAAGGGGGCCCTTGAGAACCTCCTACTTCTACCACGTGACCGCGACGCAGGAAGTTATGACGATATCGCTATTTTTCCTTTGGTCGCGTTTGCTCCAGCAGGCCATCGTTCAGCAGCTTCTCGCAAGTCCGTGGCCATGGTGCACGAGTATAAAGTTTTGTGTCTAGTTTCCTGCCCGAAGAAATTTCTTGATGTTAACTGTGTGAAAGTTCGTCGCAGGTCTGTTGCTGACACAGCCGAGCGCTGCACCCTCTAGGTGGTGATAGATGCACCCAGCGGCTTGTCGTTTTCTAAACTGAAACGGACACTGGTCAGTAATAATGAGCCTGTAATGATCTGTCCCGCAATGTATAAAATGACGCGTCTTTTTGTGACTAAAAAGCCCCCAGAAACACAATGCAGCAAAAAAAAAAAAAAAAATGAGAGGCCAAAATTGTTTTGAGTACACGGTATGCACGGTCCAATCCTAAATTCTGACATGAGCACAATACTTCATTACCTTCTGGGGCGAACAGCTTCCATTCTTATTTTTCAGGGTCAGCAGGGTCTGTTCGTGACACTCGCGTCAGCAGGGTTACTTTGTCTCGCATTCCTCTTCCTTTGGGAGAGCAGAATCTCCTCGTAACTTCGGGCCGAGTTCTAACTTCCAGTGAAATGGGCTCCATTCTACATTTCTACGTTCTGCAGGGTCCATTCCTCACTTCTCAGCAAGCAGGGTCCAGTCTAAAGACTACAGGCCAGTTCTACAGAAAGTCCCCCAACTTTCTGTATAACTGGCTCCATTCTTATTTTCTAGGACGAGAATGATCTGTATGTATTTTCCCCATGACCAGGCTTCATTCCTAACTTCAGGGTAAGCAAGGCCTGTTCCTATATGTCGCGGTAAGCAGGGTCCATTCCTTCAGAGACTAGACGGTTCTTTTCCCAACTTTCTGTGGATCTGACTCAACAATCTTATTTCCTGGGAGGAGGAGTCTAAATGTAACTTCCACATGAACAGGGTTCATTCTTGACTTCAGGGCAAGCAAAGCCCGTTCCTTATGCAGCGGTAAGCAGGGTCGACTCCACACTTCACTGCTGTCTGTTACCAATATCACGTTCATGCAAAGGGCTATCCAAGCATTTCCCACGTACCAGGTTAATGACGCTAATTCAAGTACAACCTTATTGACACTACTTTGATTCGTGTTTGAAGCGTCACATTTGCGTTTAAAAATTTTCTAGCTTTGCATCATTATCTACAACTTTTTTTTTCCTCATTTCTTGAAAACACTGCTATATTAAACATTGCCTGCTCACACCTTCGAGTTCAGAAACTGGATTTCTAAATATGCAGGTGCCACCAGCACAGACGTTTGACACAGTTTCGAGATTTTTAACCACTATCGTAAAAAGATGCATAACCTCACCTTTCACAACAGCATCCCGGTCCGACGCCTTTGACCTCCCGCGTCCAGCTATGAGCACGTCAGCTGGGAAACTGCAACAGAAACACCACCGCTGCACAAGACCAAAATGGGCAGAAAGCTGGACCGCACAAGACAAAAATGACTCTCCAGACAAATAACTAGCCTGTTCATGCTTAAGCTTGCAAGCAGGTGGTACACTATGTTACATTTCATTTTTTAACACCGACTGTCAGAGCACTTGCTTCTTTCATGCAAACAAGTTGCAAGTACTGTACTAGTGACAACTTAAGCATAACAAGCAAGCAATAAAATATTCTCACAGAACATAATTACAGCAGTAGCACTTTCTACGCAAAAACTGAGCACCGACTACCACCGGCGTAGCACTCGCAAGGGCCACTTATACGCAACTTTCTATTCATGAAATGCCTGGTAGAGGACAACTCACTCTTTGCTGTCGACTGACTTCTTGGTGTTTTTGGCCTTGCGCTTTGTCTTCACCACGATGACCGTCTGCGTCAAAAAAACAAGCAAACAAGGAAGAGACGAGGTCGCAGAGATGCCATGCAAGCAGGGAACGCGGAAGAAAGAAATGGTTCCTGCCAGAGCGTTGGATCGTCCTCTCACATGAAAATAACTGGGCAGTATGAGTCAGCTGTTCTTTTTTTGTGTGTGTTGATGTAATACGGTGGACTAGCTGATAGCAAGACTACTGCGCCCACTATCGACATGAAAAAAAAAAAAAGCGGTTTGAAGAAAAATGGGCTAATGTTCGGTGCTGCGATTAAGGTAAGAAAGCCTGGGTCTTGCAATTGAAATTGCAGCTCTGAAAAAAAAGTGAAAGAACTATAACAGACAAAGAAAGAAGAAAGCAAAGCATGCCAAACACTTTTCAACAGTTTTCGAACATGAGGGCTTTATAACAGGAGAAAAACAGTGTGATGGTTTGTGCTGCACGCATTGGCTAGGCGATAGGGTTTGCTTCAAGTGGGAGCGACTGCAAAAGAAAGCCGGAGGGGGTCGTTGAAGCTAGAAGGGGAAAAAAAAAGGCACAACCATGTGGTAACTGTGCTGCCATGTTTTTTTCTTTCCCAAAGTGATCGAAATGGTGTGGTTGTGGTCGCACCTGCTCAGTGACGCAACGGTCAGCGTGGCAGCGACTGCCGCTCTCTTTGCCTTACCTGCTCTGAGAAAATTTTCGCCGATGCAGTTGTTGATAGAACTTTCACAGCAACTGTTTCGCGAGAGATTACTGGAATTCTGAATCCCGTACATCCATGATAACACTCAGCCTGTAATCCCTTTTAAGTGCAAAAGAAAAAAAGAAAAATGATAGGACGTTGTTCGGGCTTGGGTCGTCGTATTGCGACTCTGCGTTGTTGCTTCCTGCATCAAGTGGGTGCCGAAGAGGCGGCGTGCTAAATAATCCTTATGTAATCGGCTTGTCCTGTGGTTCTCGTGCACGTCGGCACCCTTCTCTCCACGCGCGGCACACACACACACACACACCCACACACACGTACAGAAACTACTACAAACCAATGACGCGGCAATCGAGCAAAGCGACTGCACCGGAAGATCTGAGAGAAACTCGGGGAGGATCAGCATCAGCAGCCAGGAGCCGGCATCCAACTAACCTTTCCAGCGTCCTCTTTCCTCAGAGTTTCTTCAAGTAAGCTCTGCAGGCTACACGAGAAAAATACAAGAGGGCTACCGTCAATCAGTGAAATTCGTCCAGCAACCTAAAAAAAACCACGCCGCTCTTTTTTTTTTCGAGTGGCAATCACTGTGAACAAATGCTTCATTTTTTTTCATTTCTGGGTCTCTGCGAAACTGCGTCGATGTGGTGGTACTATTTTCCATGTCACACACCAGAAGAGAAAGACAGAAGTGGGGGTGAGATCTTGCCCCAACCGAGCAATCAGCGCGAAGTGCGTGCAGACGTTTCATCGGCAAAACACTTTGGAAGAGATGTGTCCGGCTGAGGAAGAGTCTACATGATACTTCTCGTTTCACAATTAGCAGGCAATGCTACAAAGATTCTGAACACGGTGCAGTCACTGAAACCCCTCTTCCCAAGCAGCACTTTTTTTTTTCTTCCCTAGCTTTCACCCAAATACTGTTTCTTATGCATGTTTAACGCTGCAACTTGTGAATGTAAGGTTGATATCAAGCCCACACTGCCAATGGGCAAAAATTATCTGGAATGGCTTGTGGTATTCAAACTTTTGAAATTTGATGGGAATATCAAACTGTGTGCTTTGGAAGTGAAGCGCTATCACTTTCTGGTAACAAATGCCAATGGGGAGAGAACTCCCTCAAGTCTTTGCAGCATTGCCCGCTATGTAAAGAAGCGGAGCATGATTCTAAAACCAAGAAAACTCCCACCGTCATTCAGAGAAAACACAGATGTTCTGGTTTAGAACCTTCACAATAGGGTCGTGAACCACCTTTCACAGTAATCACTGAACAACCTCAGTATCCAAGTTAACAGCCTCACATACTGATTACACGAAAATTTCTCGAGTATGCCAATAACGACTACGGGAAAAGGAATTCGCAGAACGCTTCAAGCGTTTTTCTCTCTTCTCTCGTATCGGTGAAGGGTGCTGGTAGTTACGCAGGAACGGACGACGCAGCACGTGCGACGAAACACGATTGCTCTGTCCTGTCGCGATTCCGGTGTACGACGAGTGCGGCTACGCGACGTTTAGCAGACTGAGTGGGTTGCCGGCATGAGGCAGCATCCCGCGGCAACAGGCACACCCAATCAAAACGCCGCTCTTGATTCGTGTCGGCTATTGGCCGACATAAATTGACACCTGTTCGGTGCGAAACTGTCGGCTCTGGCAGCACCGGAGAAAGTGAGCTCAGGCCTCTACGAAAAGAGGGCACCTGAACAAACGTCAACTTTACGCTCTGCTTCTGCGTTTTGCCATGCACATATGCAAGATTTGACTGAGACGCTAATTTCAGTGTCATCAATATGCAGAATGTGTTTTCTGAACAAACCCCAAGATGGGTTCCCGACCTCTTTCAGATTTGAAACAGCAAATGAACTCAGCGCTTCGGAAGTGTTCTATTCATTTCTTGTTTTCGAAAGCCAATGCATGGTTGAACGACTAGCAGGCTCTGCCATGCTATAAAGTTTACTTCAGCAAGTTTTGGTGGGAATTTTCTCAGTTTCAAATGACATGATGATGAGCACGGCTGCACGTCCTTGGTTACAGAAATGGGTAGCATTAAAATCAAACAACAAACTGAGATTCAGGAATTAAGAAGCTGTGCAAGCCGTTACAATGACTCAACCGATGGTTGTGCGACTAGGTTGCTCTGGTCTCCCTCTCAGACCCACATGACTTCGAGCAACTCTAGCCAGGCACAACTTGAGAAGGCAGCAGAGGCCTCACCCAGAATGACCAAGGCGCAGACTGCCTTTACAACTAAAGAAATAGCCTAGCTCGTGCATTCGGCAATGCCCTTTCACTGTTACCAAGGTAACAGACCGTGCAGCTTACGGCATCATTCTAGAGTGAGAACACATTGGGTGCTCGCGTGTGGCATAGTGGGAACGCTGCTGCCTTTTGAAGTTGTACCCAATTATAGTCAAAAGCAACTGCCTCTTGTACCCTTCTCACGCGGGCACGCTAACCTCAGTTACGACAAGCCTCAGTCTACGTTTACATCTTTAATCACTAAAATGAGTGTCACGTGACTTGCTTCACGAGCCAAACTAAAGAACACTTTTTGCGCAAGGCAAGTCTTGCGATACCCTGTTTCACGATTAAAAATATAAACGTTGATTAACTGAGATGCGTCGTAACAGATTAGCATGCCCATGTAACAAGGATAGGTTATTCCTCTTCGGCACGGTCAGTCAAGCCTTGTTACATTAAATGCAAGTTCGTAAAGTTCATTCCGTGTTGCACGCCAGGTAGACATCTTCCAGCAGGCCCAATCTCAGAAGCCAAGCATAAAATATTCAAGGCCCCTATCAGTGATGCCACCGAGGTCTGTCTTCCGATTTGGAGCAATTTTCGAACAAGCGAAATTTTCATTTTGGAGCAATCTGGAGCAGCTAACTTCAAATCCTGGTGGACAAGTAAATTGCATTTACATTCAAGGACATGAAAAATTATTCTGAGGCTTTTGTGAAGAGCTAGAAATATTTAGATTCATTGAAAATTTCACAGAGCCAATGATTTTAGAGGCGTTCCCTATTTTAATTGATGATGTAAGAATAATAGCGTCGTGCTGTTGAGCATTCTGGAAAAACTTGTTCAGTGGTTATTTCCGTAGCAAATAAACGGAATACTGGTTGAATAAAATTGTACTTCATGAAATAACAATATAAATACACCTAAGTGGTTATCTGCAAATATGGTGGACAAACATTGTGAGACACGCTAGAGACTCCCACAGTCCCAAGTGAATTTCCCCAAGATGACTTCAAGAATAAAAAAAGGTTCACGACCAAAAAAAACTTTATGATTGATTCGACTGCTGGCCATAATATGACGTCAATCAGCTAGTCTCAGAAAGGCAACCTCCTCCGGCACTCATCTCAGTGCTGAAACTACACTATTCAAGAAACTTCATTTCCTTTTGCAGCAATATTTTATGTGGCTACGGCGTTCTGTCTATACTCCAAAAACCCCCTACCGTGTCCTCTAGAAAGCAGTGCATACAAAAACGAAAAATCTCACAGGGTACCTTTCGTATAGGAACGTGCAGGCAAGATCCACATTATTTTCAATGGGATAGCAATTACTTGGACATTCTCAACTGGTTTTTGCTGTTGCCAGGGGGAGTAGCCAGAAGTTTTTCAAAAATTGGGGAAAAAGGGGGGGGGGGGCTTGATTTGAGGGGGGGGGCACATTCGTATGTGCCCCCTCCTTCTGCACTCATCTACCCCCCCCCCCCCCCCCAGCTACGCCACTGGCCGTCATGTTTTGTGTTGTGTCCCAATCGATAACATTCCCCAGCACATCGTATTTTACACACGGGTAAATGCGCGCGAGCAGGGGTGATGAATGCGGCTAAGGCAGAGATAAAAAGAGCCGACCTATCTCCTTTGTACTGATGGGGGAGGCTATAACATCAACCCACGTGCCATGCCTTCCATCGATTGTTATTCAAGCCGAGAGGAACGCGCCACCTGTGTCCACGGAACAGGAAAGATAGAGCTTGGACATGGCCGGGCTGGACAGCACGTGTGCGCTCGCTTCTTACAGCCTTCAGATTGGGTGTAGTACATGCCTCTTGCCGCTGTTTGAGGGGGGGCGCTGCGACCCTGACCTTCCTCCACCGCTCTGTGCAGCGCGCCCAATACTGGCACACGAGTTCGGGTGCGGTTCTCCACTAACCGTGCATTGAAAAACAAGTTGCTTAATCATTTAAGATGCACAAACGGTTTATGACATTGCTCATACCTGATGATGCTGGGCTTGAACCTTTATATACCTCTGAAGAGTGCACTTGGCTGGCAGTGTCTCATGCCCCGAAGTGCGCACATTATTGTAGCCCTTTTTAAACAGAAAGCGCCATATCACACACCCCTTAGTTCGTCTGGGTACACTGACCGCTTTCTTAGTCACATTTCATTTGATGCAAAAGAAACAGGGCCTTTTTCTCTCCATTTTGTGCATCCTGTTGCGATTTGGTTAACACATGCGTAGTGCTTGCTTTCGCGATAATACTGGGACGCCTTTTTCTCTCAGCAATTGCTGCACCTTCTAGCATTTTAAACGATAGTGCGACACTTGGGAGCGCAATCATCCTATCGTAGCCTAGTATTGACCCTTGCGACGAGCGTCGCTGTTATTGTTTGTGTGCAAACACTTACTGCATCTTGTTCAGTGAAAGCATCTTGTGAAGTTGAAACCTCCAGGTCTGTTTCGTTGGTCTCGGCTTTTCGCTTAATTATGTCTGGCATAAAGGCGAAGCTCGTGAAGCAGGATCTTTGCAAGGCTTTTATGCACTTGAAATTAAGTAGGAAGGAAAGTCGTCGAAAAGAGTAGGCGCGGAGTCAGGAATAAGCTTTCTGATGCGGAACGCAGGCATATAGCCTTCATCACGCAAGTGTCTGCTGCATACGACTGTCGGTGCAGACTTGTCGTTGATGATGACGTATCTCACAATATTCTTTTGTCACTTGGCGCACAGCTCAGTATTGTTTGGGAATTGGCGGGAAGGAACACTTGGTGTTTTTCCCGAACAGCGTTTGAAATACGAAACCATGGCGATAGAGCGGCCGTGATGGAACACAGCAATACACCTTCACAGAGCTAATATATATCCACGTGCCTAATGCACGTACTGAAGGTTGTGCGACTGCCTTCTTGACTCGAGAAATCACTGTAGACTGAATACTGACAAAGCACCAAATGAAATGCAGCCATGGTGGGTAAATCCCACAATAAAGCAAGCCACTACAGATAAAAGGAAACTGACAACAACCTGCTTGTAGCACTGAGCCACGAGAAAATTCACGCAGATTTTTTAGAAAAAAAAAAAAAGCTGAGTTACTTGCGGAAAAGTTGTAATGTCTGTTTCTATTTCTAAGAATGTTTTCTATGAAATCGAAGGATAGCACAAGACTGTTTTACTGACTTGAACTAGAGTTATGAACTGCTATGAACTTTTGACTTTAAGAGTGTGATTGCTGGCGCTTGTGCTAAATTATT